GGAGGCACTGTCCGCTTCTGGTCCATCTTCCAATGAGTGGTTCTGGTAAGTTTCCAGATGCAAATTAGCTAGCACTTTCCGTTTTCAATGAGCCTTTTCTCTACTACATTCTAGCTTACGAAGACTTTCTGCCAGTTCTGCCTCTAAACTATTTCTCTCAGACCTAGCGTCTAAATGCCGGACAGAAAGCAGGCTAGACTTCACCGACGCCAGGCTTACTAGACTTTGGTATGTGGACGAAAGAATGACTTCAAATAGAGTTCAACCGTGATGTGGACAACACGAAGGAATGCCACAACTTTTTAGATGATAGATTTACTTTTCCGAAGACCATCTTTCCGGCGTCCGAGGGAAATACTTGAATTTATAGTATATTTGACCTATTTGGGGATATTCAATACGCGAACTCACAAACCAGTGACTGAAACTCCTGAGATTGCTAATTAAAATGCGATCCAACATGCACTAGAGTACGAGTGTGAAACGCATACAAACCTCAAACTATGGGAATGTTCGTCTAAGTTGTTCAAAAATCGATGCAGTTCTAAAGAGAGCCCGGTTGGAGAAACGGGCGTGCACAGCACGTGGTAACGCACATGTCCAAAAGGCACGCGCAAGATGTTCGTTGGCTCGTAATGTCAAGGATTAAAAGCTCATCAGAGACTGAGGGTGAATATCATATTTAAAAGGTGGGCCTAGAAAGCAGTACATTAAAGAAAGGGAAGTGGTTCATCGACAGGAAGAGGGTTCAGGGTGGCAACGTAGCCAGTCAACAAAAAATAAGTTGTCTTGTCCTTGCTCTACGGACTAGAAATGTGCCGGATGATGTGGTAAAAGGTCTCCGTAGTGAGTAATATCAATCGCCATTTGTAGTTGCTTCAATGAGAAACAAGGGAAGAGACTGAACTGGTCATGCATGCTACCTGATTACTCTCCTATAGTGCAAATTAATTGGAAGAAATCCGTTCGCAAGGACCTGACGGGTGGCACCTAATTTAAGTTCTGTATGCGTAGAAACAAATAGAAAAAAGGCTCAGTTGATAAGCTCCCCATAATCCGTGTCTGATTTTTTCGCACCTGCTCGTAGATGTAGTACCGTACCTGGGGTTCTTTGATTCGATACACTGCTAAGAGTACATTTGTTCTCAACTAGATCTGGTTTCGTTGTGATCGAAATTGGCACTGCATAACCGCTCAACATTTCCCGTCTGAGTGCACACTATTCTCCGGTCACTGGGAGATGCTTGGTATATTCTTCAGCGACCAGACGGGAGCTTACGGGGTGCAAATCCTTTAAGAGAGTGGTAAGTTGTGCAGTACTGATATTGGGCATCACGGAGGCAAGTGCGCCACAGATCCGTCCAGATTTTTAGTACGGATTATTTTCAAGTGCAAGGTGGAAGTTGAAAACTCGAAAAATTTCCCTTTGTCTATGTTCTGTCAATGAAGAACACAATAAAGATTGGGACAGCGATAGGTTTTTCGTCCATATCTTCATAAGTTTAGCAGTTTCGCTTTCTTGTCGAAATATCAAACATTTTTTTGCAACACTTTATCCTCTCAAAAGCCAGTGTTTGCTTTGGTCTGCTTTTGGGTTAAGGCGTCTGGCAATTAGCTCTACGCGAAACTTAGCCGCAAATGTTATTATTGTTATTGAACATTCCTGAGTATTTCTTAGGCTTCCCAGGGGCGCATTGCCACAAACGTCTGAAGGCTTACTTTTCCTGTGGCACAAATAAAAAAACGAACAAATGCTACTTGTATTGGCTCTCTCCTCAGTTTTGCGGGACCCTGAGTTGACAGAACCAGTGTGGACCCCGGTCTGTCAGTTTCACCCCCCCTGGCTTCAGACATCAACACGGTCATCGCAGTCACACCGTTGATCAGCCATCTATTTTCTTCAAAGGAAGAAAAGAATCGTTCTCAAGAATACCGTGAGCAGAGATAAAAGTCGTCGCGATATCTAAATAATACACGCTAACGTCCAGCGCTTGTATTCATATTTCCAAGCTGTGGTTCAAAACAGCCGCACGCTTGCGCAAACCGAACTCGCATGGCAAAAAGGGAAAGTATCGTCCAGCAAAGGAATTTGGAAATAACAAAAAAGGTAGGGTGAAATAGGAAAATAATTATATCGGAATAGATGTTAGCATGCTTAAACTAACGGATGTTCCTATATCTTTTTTCTACGGCTATGGTTGACACCTTTGCTTCCACACAACAACAACTACGTAAAAAATCAAAGCTGCGGAATTGGAACACTTGTTATTTCTCCATTATAAAGTATGGTTTGATAGCCATTTTAGGAAAGCTAGATAACCAGAAAAATGGATAATATTTTGATAGCTGAACAGATGCAGTGCTTCAGAATATCAGCGAATCGTAGAGCACAAGGTCAGCAGACAAATGAAGTCTGATTAGGTACCCTAGGCTGATGCGGAAAGAACAGTATGGACCGAAAACCCTCCCGAACTTGGAAACACTTTTATGCTGCAACCCAGCTATATATGGTAGTGAATTTCTGAGGACTTTCAAAATAGAAAGCTTAAAATGGCGATCTCTCACACCCCCTCAAATAGATTACAATACACCCGTCTTTTGATATTTACTTACAAATGCACGAAAGATGAATGCCTGGTAAAACCTGCTGGAGATGATGCTACAAAGTATGTGGGCTGAATGTCATCGAAGCATCAACTAGCATGTCAAAAGACTGCTTGCAGTCTAGAATCACTGACAATCAACCATTAAGCAAAAGTTATCCGTGATGCTGTTCCGTAAAGCTTGTTAAACAGCGTGAATTCCCAACCATCGCGATAAGGACTGCTTGGCTAACCCTTTCAGACCAAATGCATTTACATGCACAAATTAGATGATTTGGTTCCTTCGGTGTTAAGCAGTCGCAACCAAAACCTGTCATTCATTGTTCGTCCTCTGGGTTGTATATTAACCACATATTCAAATCCAATGATCGAGGATGGTTAAAGAAATCTCAACACATCCATCAGTTGTAAGAAACACATGTTGTTTATCGTAATATCATTGCGAGAAACATGAGCTCTTGAGAAGGGGACCCTTGGAGTTGCCCTGTTTCAGTCACCGTTTGCTCGATGTTCTGTGGTTGAAGCAGATCTTTCAGAGACAGTACGTTTCCAGGAAAAAATGCACCGGTAGCTGTGAATGTGTAGACTCATAAGGCGACCACCCTACTTCATTCAACTTATAAACTACGGCAGGACACTGGCGGTATCGTGGCACTATTTCACTGAGTGATCCGTATGGAACCATTTCACCTCAATCTTTCCCGCAGTAAAAGGTCGGGTGAAGCTTACCACTGAGTTTAAAAAATATGCCAAAGCAGATTAGCGGCGAACAGTGAATGTATAGTTCTCCTCAATTCTACTAGGTACGACACTAGAAATTTGTCGACTGAGCTTGTTTCCAGATGCCTATTCGCCCTCCACATGCCTCAGGAAATCACAGTGTTTGAATTTTGGACGATGCCCACTATTGCTTTGTGAGGAAATCTGGCTATGTCCAAGGAAAATGTTACAGCATCTCATGAAGTTTTATGAAGGTGTATGATTATTATATTAGAATTAGCAAACATCTGACATTGTTCTGGCGAACTTAGGGAGAATATCTCACGTTTTTTCAATTCATAGTTGAAAGTAGTACAACAGTGACAGAACCAAAAAGTTTTCACAACACATTCCGTCCGTCATACCTTTTTCTCGTATGAAAAATTCACTGGAGGTCCAGTGAATCTTTAGCTGTGGCAAACATTAGATGAAATACTCAGGGGTTTCAAGGACCTATCAAGGAAAAAATTGCCAAACAGATGTCGGCACCACAATGAATGTGATCCTGTTTTTTAGCCAAATGTAATCACCATGGAGCCAGTGAATGGCTTCTCTCGTGTCTGTTTTATCAAATGTTGTTCTTTCGAGAATACCTGGTTTCCCCGAACGTTGCCAGGATTTTGATGATCAGTTAACTCAGCAACTTTGTATATTGTGTATCAAACCAGGAAGATTGCCGGATATGTAACTCGCATGATTCCCTCCAAGCTTACAAATGATTACACGAACACATTTTCAGGGAAATATTTATTGTTTGTATGCATCAGCGCTTATAGTTTAGAACATAAAGAGAAATGAAAAAAAGCAATGTAAGAAGCAGAAATTTGACGGTTAAGCGGTCGTTTCATCGTCGTATTCAAGGTCTCCATCATCTTTGTCTAAAAATGTGAAGGTTTTAAATCTTTCCGGTAAGAGTATTACTGTTGTTTTCTAAGTCAGCATTGCGTATAGAAAAACGATCAAAACTCTGTTCGACTTTAATATGTGCATCACACACAATATAATGGACACAATATAATAATGGAAAAAGCCAATCAAAGAATCCAAGCTGCAGTGTTGGTTTGCGTGACTACTCCTGGTGCACTAAGTATAATCTATCAAGTAAAAGAGGAATTTCCGTTCTCCAGGCATCATGTCACGAAGCTAACCGAATGCCTCTGTCTTGTCCGGGCTTTTCAGTTGAGGTAGGATATTCGTGTGGATCGCCATCACATGACTTATCCGTCCTCAGAACGCGCTTACAGCCCTTAACAACTTAGTAAATTTTGCACTGGTTGACTGAAGGATAACTGAATGCGGGTGCCTTTGAAGGGCAATATAAATCCGCTAAACATCAAAGAACCTTTTGACTTAGTGTGGCGGAAATATATCTCCTTTTGAGATTCACACTGATTTTTCTAGAATGACCGGAATTGAAATTGATTTTAACCGAGAGTTTGAGTGGAAATTGCTGAACCAGATATTTACATATATTTCGCTGATAAGGGCCACAAGATGCAATTAGATTATAGAAACAGAAGTCATCTGAATACATCACAGTTTAGTTGAGATCTGCTCTGCTCATTTGCGACAGAAATGGCCGCGTACGATGGTAGTGTAAATTTTTCGCCAGTTTGTGATGCTATAGGAGGACTCACGGTTAAACAAGGGCCGAGCCCAATATCCATTGTGCTCACAAGCACCTTCCGGGCCGTTTAGTTCTTGAAGGAAAAAGATGGATATGTCGCGATGTTCAAATGGCGAAAGCTGCATCTGTTTCTCCCACAAGGTTACGTTATATTTGCCCAGAGTGTGTCCATCGACCTTTACATCACTTTTTTCCAAAATATTGCAATCTTTGACGTTTAAGTGTTCTTCGTAGAACTTCTTATTGATGATCTGGGAGGATAAAAATTCTGCGGAATAAGTGTTCAGTTTCGGTTACTCAGAATAATCTACCAAATCAATAGTATAACCCAACTTTTTAAAGAAAGCAGGGTTCTGCCGTTGAGGAACCTGTGTACTTACACGAGAAGCGTATGAAAATTAAAGGCAGATGTCACCACGTTCATGAAGTCAGTGCGGACAGAAACCTAACCTGATGTTTCTCATATCGGAGAAAGTTTTGTGTCGTGTTCACACCGAAGTGGATCGGCTGCCTTATCGTAATCTAGGGCATTAATGGAACAATAATGAGTTTCTTAACAATCTGCCCAAAATGTTTGATTGAAAGATGAATGTCTTCCTGATCAGTTGCTCATGCTACGATGATTTAGTTTTACCACTTAGTGAGACCATCCGAATTCAACTCCCATAAGATTCTTGAAGTGCGCGTTGCCAGAGTTTCAATACACACGAGATTGGGGTACAGTGCTTCAGGGCTTTTTGGAATGATAAAAAACTATAAGAGAGATCTCGAAAGCTCAATATATTATTATCTATGAGTAAACTCTCCATGAGCAACCGCGCATCATAGATGATTCACCGTGATTGGATTCTCTACATTTAGCTGAACAGCTGCTTACTCTACACCTCTTCAGGGATAGAAAGAAGAACAATTTCGACAGAGATGCTAATGGCTTTCATTGGACACGGGTGTCATATTTTGTTCGACAGTAATTATGGAAAAGAAAACAACGCTCACTAATGGAGCTTTGGTACACCTTATGAGGCAGTTCAGATCGGGAGCCAAAGACCTTCCGTATGAATCTCTAATCTAAAACTTATTTACCATTTCTTACCTTTTTCAATTGAGGGCATCAGAAACTCTCAGGGTCTTCAGATCAGAGTACTGTTAATGCGTCTTCAGAATTTACCCTTTCAAAAACCGTTTCAGAAAGTCATTTTGACAAATCTCTAGATTATCAGAATTTTGGTACAGCATCCTCATGTTTAAAAGCCTGACGACTTTGGACTCAAAAATCCCAAACTCTTGGAGAAATGAGTGGTATGCTCAGGCAGGAGTTTGACAGCCTTCAGAAGATATCAACCTAACATGTGTGAATTTTTTGAAATTAAAAATAAAGGCTGCCAATTAAAACGTCAGATTGATTTTGCTAACCACATACAATTCGACCGTTGGTCGTGTGCGACTAATGACCACTTAAGCCTCACTCTCCGAAATTGATACTCGAAGCCCGTAAGAATATTTTCGTTTTCGTAGCAATAACTGAGAAACTTCTAGAAAAATATAACTGAATAAGCCTCACTCGCCGAAATTGATACTCGAATCCCGTAAAAATATTTTCGTTTTCGTAGCAATAACTAAGAACAAACCATTTAATAAGAAACTTCTAGAAAAATATAACTGAATAATGGTCATACGTAAGTGTTGTCAGCTCACAAGCTTAGGATACAATACAACAGGCTCACTTTTTCGAGGAATGTAATCAGCAATGTAGGGATCAACGTCTGAAAATTAAGTCAGAATTACAAATCTTTACCGTTGGATAACGATTTGGTCTTTTGTGAAAGTCCCCTTATGATTGAGCACATAAGGAGTCTGTCTTGATTCAAGACAGCTCATCAAAAAAGCATTTACTTAGACATTATGGTACAAAATCGCCCGTGTGAGTCAAAAGTGTGAGGGAGCACTTTGAAGTGAATAATACAAATAGAATCAATGCAATGGCGCTGACAAAACTAACCAAAACCGTCGCTGGGTTGCCCGTGTCCACTGGTGGTCAGACAGCTCGTTTCGTTCCCATTCAGTAGGCGGTTGATATACCAAGTTTGAAAATCATAAGACAACCCGTTCTGATATGCTTCTGGAAGTCTGTCAATGTTGACATCCGCGTTAAAAATTAGTTCAAGGTTAGTTTCGTTGTGATCGTGCATGAAGTCAAAGGTGCAGTTTGAGAATAATCCGCTTTCCCACTGCCTCGGTGCGCGATTTTTCAGCTGCAAGTGTAAGAGAAGGGTAACGTGTGTCCTATTTTAGCTCACAATGTGGTTAGGTGTCTTATCTCAAGAAACAATAAGGTCTAGCAGAATTTTAGTGGTATTGCACGCAACATGCCCCTCAAATACAACATTTTCAAAACTCCCTCTTACTGTCAAATTGTAGGCAAACTAAGAAAGTCCTTCCATAAGTACGTCGAAAAAACTCACCACTGTGCATGGATGTACGTCTTGCAGTAGTCCATTTGGAGCCAAGGTTCTGAAGTCAAGCTCTGTTGGTGAACATTTCAGTTATACTGATGGATTTATTCCGAATAGGTTAAAAGTCATAAGCAATGCATTTATTTTTGCTAACGATCACAGTGAACTCACCAACTACTCGGGAAAAAACTTCGCCGACAAGAATGGCAAACATATACGGGGTGAACAGGTATACATTACCGTTTCAAGTGATGCTGGCCACTGCTTGGATGAAACTAAAGTTGTTTTCAAACTTGTGGTATAATGTCGTGTTTGTGATATAATTGTTGGATCCTCATGGTATCGATGAAATTCAGCAAAATCCTGAGCATGTTCTTGTGATAAGTAATAAAATAGGGGAAAGCTAAGGGGGCATAACTCAGTCGGGTGCTTGAGTCCCTGCTGGGAGGGAAAAACTGGAAAAATTTTGAAAATTAGACGAGCAAATGGTTTTTATCTGGAGGAAAACCCACACTTGAATGTGGATTATCTTCTGCGTCTTGCGAGTTGTTTGATGTGATTTGCAATTTTGAGTAGTGCGAACCACTTCCCTGTAACGAATCCGACAAGTCTCGTGTACACTCCGCCTTATGCATTCAAGTTGTCAAAGTCCACCAAATAAATAATCCTGAGTAGGCCAAATTTTCCTGTTAACGGGTGTGATAATAGTGCGTTTTTATGAGCTCTAAAGCATATCGTCCCTCATTCCCAGGTTGTATTAAACAACATCTGTTCAAGTATCATTCAAAACAGTGTGAGTATAGTTGAGAAGACGAACGCGTTTATCCGCCGGAGCTGGCTTGTAGTGGACAAAAACAAATGTGCATGGATTTTCATGAAAGAAACTACTCACAAGGTTGCTGAAAACTCTTCGACAGCCCACGACCGGTTTCGCCTTTCTTGTGGCTCATCAGGTAAGCGCAGTCAACAAGTTTCCATCAACCTTATATTCTTCTATGTATTACTCTATCCAACTCTCTGGTTAATCTGCCGAATTTCGTTCCGCATTTTGCCTGCTGATACTGCTACTGAGAGGTAAGTATTGTGAAGAACTACAAACTTGCATAAAATATGCTGCTAATAAGATAGTTCTTTGAAGATTGGTCGGCAGAAATGTTTGGGGGAAGCATGGCATACGTATGTATTTGCAAGCTAAAGCACTGCGAAGCTGGAAACTCGGCAAGATTCGAAGTTGTGACGTGTATAAACACAACTCCTGTTCATCTCAGAAAGGCACTCGCATCACTGAAACAAAATACTTCAAAATGGTCAGGTGTGCAAGCCATTAATGTTTGTGTACTGCTCTTGGAATTTTGTCGGGATAAAACTTATAAACCTTGGCCGAAAGTGTAATTCATCTTGAACGTAGGAGGAAGCATTGACACTATTCTCGTGTTATTTCATTAGTGTACGCGGTCATGTAGATAGTCAGTGATAGAGTTAATATAGTGAGGTGTGTGTGAGAACCAACTCAGCAAGTCAGTGTCGCGGTGTCGAAAGTACGCGTTTGTGCTACATAACCGAATAAAGCTATCAACTTTGAAAATCCTCACATCAAACTGATCAAGAGGACCAATGCTATAATTTCAGCGAACATGGTGCGTTGAAATATCTCCCTATCCGGTCAGGCTAATCCGGTCACCAGTGCGTCAGTTGTTGCTGCAAGCATCGATGCAAAGCTAACGTTGAACGGGTAATCTTTAGATTTTATCGCTACGTTTCTCTAAGTGATATGCGCGGATGAACTCAGCGCATTGTGAAAGCGGTGTTAAGCTACAATTTGGCCGTGTGGAAGAAAACCGAACCGTAAACCTCGAACAAAAGAGCTGTCACTTCAGGTTACTCGAACGTGATGGTCTTCCAGTTGGCAGGCTTCGCCGATCTTGTAATCGTGAAAGGCTCGTAAGGTAAAAGTATATTTCTCGAAATCAAATTTCGTTCTTATACTTGTAAATTAGGCAACAAGGAGTTTACCGGCTTGTTTTACCGTCTATTTGATTCGGTGGAGAACGTCAAAAATTTATTGTTTACCAATAGGCCATATCGTGTGTTAAGAGATATGTTACCGGTTCCTAAAGCACAGCGCTGCTCGGCCTTATTTTTGTTTCCTGTATTCAGCCTCCGTACATCTACTATCCACAAGGCTGCAGCACTGCCGATTTTAACCGCTGTCACAGCTGTCGGGCTAGATTATAGTTTGGCCATTCTGACAGATCCACTTCTAGATGCTGGTTGTAATGGATGTGGGAGAAGAGATTCCTTGAAATCTGTGAAGGGATGGACGAACGACTCTTAGGTGTAGGACGCGGTTGAAAAGAATTCCTGATGAAAGTCTTAATCAAGGCAGGTCATTTGGGATCTACTGTACGATTTTCTACCACCGACTATGCTGAGGCACTAAGGGACAGTATTGGTCACGTATTGCAATCCACCACGAGAGGGAACCAAAATTGGATTGCCTAATTTCAGCCGGGAAATTAGAATACTGCGCTGGTGGAACCCATTGCTGGTTGTCAGGCCTCCAAGGAAATACATCCTCCTGCAGGTGAAACAAAGCTCACCCAAGAAGAAACATGTAACATATAATGAAACTATAAAAGCTTTCAGAATATTGGTCTTCAGGGTCCCTGATCTAGTGCGAAAGGCAAAATTCATTGCGGATTATTTTCACGTGTACTACGAAGGTGACTCTCATCACCGGGGTTCAGTGTGGCTGTTTCCACTAAAGTCAAAATTCTCCCGCATTCACTACATTGATTCGTTCAAGAGAAGGCGTTTAGGACACTGTGTATCGAGGCCCACATATTAGAATACAGCAAAACTGTGAGGGTTTATAACTGAAATAGGCCGAACACATCAATTTTAGCAAACAGATTAAACCGCCGATTTCGATCTCACAGCTGGTGACCGGAAGTGTATTTGCTAAACAATAGCAGTGTAGCGTGGGACATCAGGAGGTTAGCGGTATTCGACGTTCGAGATGTAGTGACGGCACACGCCGGTTCTGAAGTGTGCAGATATACGGACTGGTATTAATAAATCCACACGGTACACACAGTACACATTCGCACAGGTCGGGTGACACAGGAAAGAAGACCGGAGCGTGGCAACAACAACGCAGCAAATACATTATCGTGGCTGTTGCTTATGTTCGTTGGTTGCTTGATGCAGAAAAAAATAGCACATGTTCAATTTCTAACTGCGTTTTTTTATTGGTTCTCATTTTGATGCAGATATGCTGTTCACTGGGTTATACCGCATTAAGACGTTCACTAACAAATAGTCAGATATCACATCAGGAATAATGGTTGAAAAAACGTTTCTACTCGGTTTGCATGACTTCACATTTGCGTGAAGGAACAAAAATTGTAGGAGGTCATTTTGGTGAGCGATCCAACTTTTCACTAGTTGACAGGCAGAAAAAACACTAGATGTCAGTAAAAGTCTATACTCTCGGCGAGCGTCGGTTACTCAACCCCTACATCATTATCGTCTTCACGCTCTTCGTCATCGTTATCATTAGTATTGATACTGATTCACCATTACTGAACATACGTAAGCTTTATCTGATCATATTGGTAGTCTCAGAGTGACGTGAGAGAAAAAAGTCTTGCAGGAAAGAAACCTAGTGCTGGCATTCCGAGGTACCTACCACTCCAAGCGATCAGTAAGACGACCCGAAAAGCAACTGACAATCCGAATGCCACTGACATCAACTAGCTTTCATTTATTTCAGTATCTCGAGCCAAGCGCAGGGTATGGTCTAGTGAACCCCATTCTGGAAGGCTTGCCACACCGACACACTGAAACTCCTAACGATCTCTCTCACACTCGTCTGCTAATTTGTACGCTCTACACCTCGCGAATTCTGAAAAGGGCATGGAAGACAGCAGTCATCTCTATGGACGATGTTGTCCCATACATAACACATGATCAAGCAGACACAGTTGATGCTGCTTGGGGTTCTATGCTACTGAAGTGCCTGTTTCAAAACCGAATACTCGTAATGTAAATATTTCGTTATAATTTTGTTATAATTTCAATATTAGCAAAGCTTCTGAAGCACAGGCGATAAAAAACCTGAAGTAATCTTAAAATATTTGCCCGCTAAGGCACGTTTCTCGACCATATAACAGTAAAGCTCTTGTGGTAGCCTGATAAAAGTGACCCCGGTGACCCAAAGATATGCGCTCCTGAAGCCACACTTGACAGCTTAGCAAAGATGATTCAGGTCTTGGAGAGCAGTGAACCGACTTCATCTGATATTTCCATCAGCCTCATTAGAAATGACGGGGTATGTGAAATTCTCCTTCACCTTCAGTGGTTCTCCTCTTATCGTTAGGGGTATATTCAGGGACGGGCACGAGCCTGCAGTTTGAAGGCGCTGCTAGAATTACAAAAGGTGGCACGAGGGTTACTAGTTTACTCGACAGATCTCGTGATTGGATTGTTGGTACTGCAACCAGAAGTTCCGGCTTTGAGTAACGCTTTGGGTATCTGTTCTTAATGGTCGTCATTATCCTATATAGGCCCTTTCGGTATGCGTTCGAGGTTGCCATAGGTTCGTTTGACTTTCGCGTTTATCAGCTTTTTAATGCCCAAGCGAGTTGTTTGTGTCTTATGTAAACCTGCAAGGAGCAATGAAAGTCAGCAGAGGACTACTGCACGTTTGGAATTCGTGCTAGAATTTAAGAAGGAGCGGCAGGTATTGGTCGACCCCGACTACCGGTAAATGATGACGTTGTGGTCTACTTGGATTCGGGGTTGGCTCGTAGATGAACATCATGTTGCCAAGCGATCTAGACTGTTCTGGAATCTGATACTGAGTATGATCAATCTGTGATCAGCAGGCATCTGCCATTGCTGCTCTCAGTTATCTCTGAACCTCGTTTCCAAACCAAAAAGAGCTCCCAACTAAACCTCATAATCGCTCATCCTACCTTCCCGAGAATTCATACTGCCAGCAACCGCAACGATTTCAGTGCTTTTAGCCTTGTATAAAGGAACACCTTGAGTGTCACAGAAACTAGCCTTGGCAGATTCGGAGCTACCATCGGAATTAAGCAAACACAATAAACATCGAGTGATGCATCTCATCAACTTGCGGTTATTTCCACAGGTATCCAGGAGACTGTGTGGATCCGACCTTTATAAGACACTTTGTACATGGCGCACATACCTCATCCAGTGGTCCACAGAGGCACACGTATCTTCACACCCTGTTAAAGTCTGGTCTCTTTGTGACGGCTGTTAACATTTCCCCATCTTATTGAAAAAATTATCGTGCATATCTTGTGAAGTCGCTAATTTTTTCACATTAGTTGGCACCACTTTCTGCTGACAGACCTCATGCTTGAATATGGATGCGGAATGCCCACAGTGTGTAGTTTCGCTGGAACCTTTAATGCACTACGCATAAACCTTTGATATATTTTCCTTTTCCATTTTACTTGATGATGTTGCTTAGCAAGGTAGAAGGTCTTCTTCACCTTCACTAAGTTGCAGCTTCAAAAAAAAAACAAAATGCCAAATGTTACAAAAAGAACTGGCATAAAATATAACTGATTACAACTCAAGACAAAGCAAATAGGAACATAATTTGGTAAAAACACCACCTAGGAACGCCCTTCACTCGGCGAAATTTTCAATTACGAGAACAAATTCTTTGCAATGGTCAATAATTGTATTTGATGCATTAAATATTTGCCCAATAACCATTGTAATTGCAAGGTCCATTAGGACCATTTAACTCTTTGAGAAGCATAACGTATATATCAGTCTGGTGGAATTCTCCAGCCACGAGATTATTCCTCAATAAGTTTAGTTCGTATCTTCCCGGAAGCTGCAAATCCACGGGTTCATTTGTTCTCTCTTTGAGCTGACAACTCGTAACCGTGAGTTGGCCACCAACGAAATTCTTGTTGATCACCTGATATATATAGAGAGAGATGAAGATATAGATATAGATAAAGATATAGACTATAGATATAAAGATATGGATATAGAGAGAGTTAAAACCATTTTTAGAGTGTTAAATTGTCAAAACAGTTCACTCATTCGTAGCTAGCCATAAAATACTCACGTTCTGACAAAAGCTTGGGTCCCAAGGTCCAATGAGAATAAAGTCTAGGAAATGGAAAAACGCACAGATGGGTAAACGCATTAGTTTTGTGTCCTGTGCTAGTTGCCTTGTTATACACGGTCTTCTTATTTTGCAATATTTTCTCTCATACATGCGGTTAAACTTAAAACAACAAGGCAATTGTGAGTTTACAGACTTTGGCATGAAACGTTATGCCCTAAAATTTGTTGACTTTTGTCGTCAGAGTAAGCAGTATTGTGTTTGGAAGCTTGTTCTGATAGCTATTTCCCACGTGTTGTTGAAATCCACCCAGTTGGCGGAAACAACGGACTGCTTGAACTAGTGGAGTTCAGTGCGATGCAACCATGAGCAGTGTGGCTGCACAATGCCACTAAAAAAGTCCATTAAATTTTGCAAGTTCGTGCGCTTCTGTGCCAGCAATAGGCCATTTTAAGCATACAGTATACCACACATCTCATCAAACATAATCTTTTATATACCCAGGGGGTCAAAAGAATAAAGCACAATATAAGGACTCGTGGGATGTAAGGATGTAACAGGAAGAAACAATGTACAGCGACTTGTTATTCATCGATTTTACTTAGTATCAGTGGGTTTGTTTCTAGGGTGGAGTAAAATGTCTTCAGAACGTTAAACTGATAGCTCGATGATTGTTTTTGCATGTCCTCCGGGAACAAACATCTGAGGTTTGAAACGAAAGCAAACAAAATGTTGCGGCTTTGAATACGGGAACACCAACCAGATGATCCACTTTCTTTGTTCGGTAAAACAATAAAACTATACCTCCAGATCCATCTTCATCCGGTTCTCCACCGGTAGAGGTGAGGCAAGAATTCATGTCTCCGTTGAGCCTGCGATTGAGGTACCAAAATATAACGTCCTTTGACCAGCCGGGTTGATAGTCTGGTAATAGGGGTGCATAAGCTTGGACTTTGAACATTGCTACTTTATCAGTCCAACTGTATTCCACCATACCGAGATAGGTACATGATGTAAACATGCCATTTTTCCAATCCATCGGCCCACGGACTCGTAACTAGGGGTGGAAAACACATATAAGCTGTGTAATACAAGAATAAACATTCCAGACAATGGAGTCTATGGTAATAGGAGAGTCTCCAAAATGCTACTAGTCCTGACATTCGACTTATCGCTAATTTTTTGGAACCCTTGTGAAAGCTCACATTTGTGGGTTTGAATACTTGCATTGCTTGTAATTAAAGGCTATGTAACATTTAATGATTACTTAGGAGATTTTTCGCAAGGAAGCATGCCTGCTCAGATAACTGTTTAACCACTCTAATTGCTATTTTGAAATATAGTTATTCTTGAGCAACCAACAAACCAAAAAAGTCTCATTGAACCAAGTAGTAATACATTCCATTCAAAGCTAGGAAGCAGTCGCTTCACAGAGTACTAGTTAGAGAATCCTTTGATGTCTGTAATCCAAACAAACCTGCAAGCTCCGGTTGTTAACTCTCTAAATAATCTATTGATGATTAATTTACGTGGGATAAATACCACAAAACCGCGAATCTTGGTTCGATTAGGGGTGTTTTTTCGTTAAGTTTCTTATTATTTAGGGCTACAATACACAAAGTGTAGCCCACCTAACGTAAAATACTTACCGTTTCGCAGGCCGCAACATCCTGTAGAAGCCCCTCGGGAACAAGTGCCCTCACGATAAGTTCTGTGATAATTTTAAGCGAATCATTTATATACGATTCATCAAAAATGACATTGCTGTACTCAATAATATATGAAATTCGACAGAGTGGACAAAGATAGACAGGTACAAATAAAATCAACTTTCAGGCAACTCACCAAATTTTTGAGAGTAAATAGGCTGTGCACTGACGAACACGTTTCGTGATAGGATTTATTAGGTATGCATCCTGTCTCGATGTGTACACAGCAAAGGGTGCCATCACTTGCTAATTTTTTTTGACTCCATGAAAGTCAAAGGAAATGTAGTGTAGTCTTTTTCGCATGAATTCAATGGCATGTGTGTAGCCACTTTGAAGGTACGTTTCGAACGAATTTTTAGCGTTTGAACAATAGACTGAGTTTTCTATAGGGGAAAACGTTGGTAGCTCGGTAGCGTAGATGGCCGCTGGCTTGTTCGCTGTGCTGGGCAATTCGATTGCAAACGTTCCATCACTAATGGAGGTAACATCATTGGCTACCTACGCAACTCTACGCTCCCCAATAACGAGGATGTCACCTCGAAAGGGGATCAAACGTTTGCAATTAAATAGCCCGCACAGCGAAAAACAACGGCAGGCTAAGAGTAGCATCATCATCTAATGCAAATGATGACATATTCATAAATTAGGGACTTTTATCGCGTCCACACACGATATACTTTTTATCAAGCAGTACAAAAAATGAGCTTGCTTGCGTACCTGTTCCCACATTTTTATGAAAATAACCAAAACGTTCGCACGTTTGAAAACAGGTTAGCCATATCTAAAATGTTGAAGCAATAGATCCAAACACAGCTGAACAGAAATCTTTCTGAGGTTCTTCCGAATGGTAAATGTAAACAAGTGAAGAATAATCTTCGTAACAAAACAGAACGACGCACACCACACGCTTCATTCCTCCCTTGCGCATTTGCGGGATAAAAAACCTACTTTGTTTGTACTTCAAACAAGCGTTTTTTGTTTTGTATATTTTTACTCTTCGACATATTGTTGCCTAGATTCTGATCAAGCCATACTCGATCTGGTAGCACTTGACTCTGCTGTAGTTGACTGCCTGATTTCTACTGATTCCGCAGTGCACTGTGAACGGAATGCACATCCACTCGGAGAAGAACTTCTGTTCTCGTAACACGCAGGATGCACGCAGTATACGTGCACACCGGATGCTTAGCCTTGCTTCTACCAAACATTTCAGTTTATCGAAAGCGATATCAAACCCAGGTCACGCGATGCCCATTGAAAACATATTGTCATTTGTTTAGTGGATCGGTCTTTGGTTAGAAACCGGTTGCACGGATAATCGTTTTAAGCCTGTTCTGTCCTCCTATGATGATCCGAGGGTTACTTTGAAGCTGATCTGATTTAATTGATCGTTTTATGTGCCATGTACTCTGTACAGAGCAAAGCGTATAATCTTTAATCACCCGAAGACTTGTTGTTCATTTTGATGCGTGGATCACATTATTTTGCTGGTCAACAAAGCATTACCAGAATTATCAAACACCATGCTAATGAATATTCAGGGTACCTGTTCAGCAGTTTTTTCCTGAAGACAAAAGAGTAGATAAAAGAAAAGCGACTATCCATATTGAGAACAAAGTAACAAGTAAATTTTGAAGCGGATGTGTACGGCATTTTTTATCCATCCAACCCCTAACCAACCAGCAGTATCCCGTTTCATATGGTCGGTTTCATCAGTCCAGCTCTCGTGACTGCCTTAGTTACAACGTTTTATCAAATCATCATCATCATTCCTTTCAGATTTCCCTTCCACCGTCACTCCACTCCTCGTTACAATGACTGTATTGTATCGAAGATTCTGTCCTCAAGCGGCAAATTGAACCTGTAAGATACACGCACTTTGAAGTCTTTCTATGTAGCCACTCCTCATTTGTTGTGCTTCAGACACATGGTGCACTAATCTATGCTTCATGATGTGCTCCTTACAGAATTTTAGGCTTGTATGTACTGTTTATTACAACTTGCACAGACACACAACATAAATCCCGTGCGTTACCTTTCAAGGCAAGTTTACCACGTTAAACAGGTTGTCGTGATATTACTTGAGATCATATTGTTCACAGAGACACATGGTTGTGCCCTTGCACACTGCAAAGCACATGATATCTGTCACATGGATCATCGCATTAATTTTACTTGTATCAAATTTTAAGCCTGATCAACATAACTGACTTGTTCTCCCGGTTCTCGAGTTCACTTGTGTGGCGGAAACATTGGTTTGTCAGGTGCTAATCAACTGATCAAGATGAACAATGCCAAGTCTAGTTGGCATACCCATCAGTAATGATGATATATGATGATATAACAAACTACAGCAAACCTCTGGCCATTGTCTATTTCCCTTTGTTGGTTTATCTAACAAGTTTTACAGTTTTCGTTGGAGACGGATTGGTTCACTGAATAGTTGGGTGCGAGAACACATGTTTTACTCCTAGGTTCCCACTCAGTCTTATCACAGTACGTCGTTTTGTTTCAGTGTCAAACCTTGTGTAAGCCTTGTGTATTTTGCAATTTTGTTTCCTTAATAATAAACAATCGGGTTATTAGTTTACCGAACGGGTCAACGTTTTGCGCTCTAATAGTCTTGCACACTGACTCTATCTGTCGAGTCTTACCGTCCTGTGGTTATAGATGCAAACACACGTGTTTAAAACACAATCCTTTAAGTTCAGGGAGAGTGAATTTCAAGAACTATTTTCAGCAAGCCAGTTATGAAGAAAAATTACTGATGTGCCAAACGGTGACTTGATATGACCGAGTAGGACCACGGATGATGTGGACGTCCGTCTGATTGTTGGCCAGGATGGTTCGTTTGACAACTTTTCGTCACCATGATTGGGGGCATCTTCGGGGCTTCGTTATGCAGACAATTCTCTCTGAGTATATATAACTTTCGGAGGATAGTTAACAACTGTAACCTGACGGGCTTTGTGGGGATTCACGTATTGCTTCTACGTTTTTTGGTTTTCTCTTTTCTGATTATCTTGCATCCGATTAATTTCAGTAGTTTTATGCATCCATCCGCTTGATGCATGTTTTTTTCATTGCCAGTATACTCCAGTAGTTTGCGGGGTCGATGAGCCACCTATCCTTAAGGAGTATCTTGATTTGATTTGATTGAATCGTGTGTCACTTCGATTGTCATAGCTATGGACCAGTTTGTAAGGTACTGCCTCTTGCACAGCCCATTTGTTGTTCTGACCCATAAATGTGAGTACAGGAGCCAGAAGATAACAGACCAATAAGTAGAATCACTTGAACAATAAAACCGCTATCGGAAAAAATCACTTTCCCAAGTGCTCTAACTGAACGACATACCGACCTAACTAACACTACGACATGGTAGTGATAATGCCGCCTCGATTGCTGATAGAAGCTTGGAGCTCAGGGAGCAAATGAGAGATAATCCTTGCTGACTGATCATTCTAGCAACTTTGAAATTGGTCCAATATATCTCACCTGGTTGTGAAAGGGTACATGAAACAGGACTTCCTATGAAGCACACGCCAGGACATTTAGAATCTCAAAACTAATCCTAATGTGATTCCAGGACCTACTAGGGCTCGGCGAATTGACACTTGTGTTTTGTACCGATACTTTATGACAGCTTTTTTGCCTTCCTAACAGGCTTCCTACATTTCTATGGAACCTAGATGCATACATCTACGGCGCTTTCGTCCCTTTGTCACAAGCTTCATTTTTTCATGCACACCCGTGAGGTCCATCGATTGTGACCATTGACTGGGCAATTCATTCTACCTGTGTCTGTCAACCATGCCAGACACTGAGAGCTGCGCACTGATGACCATAGGTTTCATACACCATCTCCATTAGCTGACACCACCTGTGGTTCAAATTCGTGGAGACCTTGGTTGTCGAATCAACTTAGTTGCGCAGTTCGGGCTTCTATGCTTTACATCAAATTCATAGGCTTATCGGCGAATGGACATTTGAAACCGAGCTTTGCCACATTGTGCACTCGGTTGGCTAGGCATTTTCGGGTTTATCTTTGAAAGTGACGGAAACCGCACCCCTGAGTGCTTAATAATCGGATATCGTGAAACCGTCGTAAGTTATGTGCGAACTCAACGGAATGTGACTGCGTTAGAAGGACGCGAGTTGACACTGTCCCAAGAAGTCGTGTGAAGATATATGAAGGAGGACTGAACTAAACAGTATAGGATAAACGTGCAGACTACCGGTCGGAAGTGCGTTGCCGAGCATCTGGGCAAATTACGAAGAAAAAGGTTAACTCTGACATACCTGCTGAGACCATGAAAGGAAAGGATTACTAAATCAACCATCCGACCAAAGTATTTTCAACTATTCAAACCTGTCTTTTGTTCTAAATATTTCGGGTGCAATTCATCCACTTGCTAGAACAAAACGTTCCCTTCTCTGATGAATTCACATAATTGAGTTATTGGCTATTTATTTGGCTATCCCACCATTCCCATATCTAGCTGTTTGCTGGTCAATAAATGATCTTGAATGCTGCTCCATGATGCAGGGTAATTAAAGCCCCAACGAAACAGTTGTACCAGAGGATGGAGACACAAATCGCTCCAGATTAGTATGAGGCCTGTGCATTTTCATGTTCCCAATTTAATCCAAATTATCCTGCTTCTTTAGGTTGGACGTCAACAGTGATGGTTACTTTAATGATGAGTTTTTAAAAATTGACTGGAGCGTAAAAATTCGATTGCTTAATAATCGGAAACAATTGAACCCTGATAGGTTATACGGATAGCAACGTAATCATACCTATCCGTAATTAGGCGAGGACGACCTCAAGTAACCATCAGTAGTTGTACGAGTGTCCTACTTGTTAATTCATGACTGAGGCAAATTATCTGTTTTTATGTTAAACCCGAAGCTAATCAAAGAAGTGAAGTTTGAGCATGAGCTTCGTTAGATAACAAGTTAAAACGTATTAGCGGGGCATTCGATGCATGAGAGTTACGTTAACCCATACACTGTTATCTCCAACTGACATGATAGTCACTAAGGCTGGAAGATTGCATTGCTTAGACTACCATGCGCATTCCGATTATCTTTGATAAAACACACCCCGAAGCCTTCATGGCTTACGCAGAGTCGATTATCACGATGGTGTAGACAACAAACAGTTTAGTTCATGTTGTCGGAACTTTGCCGAGGAATATTGATTGAAAACCATTTGAAAATGAATCTAGCACTATATTTTACCAACGACATGGACAAAGACTTACCGAAAGAATGACTTCATGCTCAATAATTGTGGATCACAGTTGCAGTATCTCACTCTACATTTTGGCCAAAACCGACGCAGGAACCAGGTGGCTGATACGTTTCTTCCAGTATCGGTGTGCTTAGAAGATGACCTTAGAAACTATTGAGGGCATAAGTTGCCACCAGGCAAACACAGCGCAGTGGTGCACGGATCAAAACACCCTGGTTAATTCCCTGTCGATCGCTATGTATTCGGTTTGTGTGCAAGATGTGTTTAAGATCACTTCAAGTGAGCCATTCGCTCCCTGTATTCAATAGCAAATATTTTTCGTTACAAACTGCGTACATGCGTACATGCTGCTACGTAAAGAAAATATCTAATCTCAGCCCACTCGGTCTTCTCTGTAATACAGCGGCTTTCTTAAAGTAGTATTCTAAATAAGTAACATGTTACCTGCTGTTGGTTGATTAGGTGATCTTTAATATGTTCACCAAGCGCAGCAAGCGGCTTGCAGACGCCTTTTCGCAGGTGATATTTTTTGACTGGCAGCGAAACGTTTGAACGCTAAATGTGGAGCTTTGCGGACATACCAATGGCCACCTGATTAATCACCAGTAAGGTTACGGGAACTATGGACTATTAAACGTGACTGCGCAATTCGCTGATTTCAAATTTACATCACTCTTGTTTGAACACCGCATTCTATCTTGGAGCAGCTGTTCTTGTTGGTGTATCCCATAAATCACGCAACCACCTGCAGCTAATCAAAGATTGTCCAGCAGACATCAAACACTCCTTAAGGCATCTGACTAGGAAGTTCTGGAAGACATCAAGCAATCGGTACATCCAAGACATTTATCGGCTGGGCTTTCAGACAGTCAGGCAACCCAGTCGCACATGCATGAAAAGATTCGCCTGTGTAGACGCGATAATTCAGGTGCATCCAGCGCGCGTTGGAACAATAGTTGGATCATGTTCACCTCGCATTCCAGATGCCCGATGTTCAACACCTGACACGCTCAGGAGTGCGTCCAGAAGACGATCTCCAATAAGAGAGAAAATCGAGCCAACTGCTTGTACCTTTGGTGTGGACTTACAAGGATGATTACCTCCGGGCTAGAGCAGCGTGCTCCATTTGAGGATGATGTCAATGTAAACGTTCCGGACGCTTCCTGATATAAGCAACTCATGCGGTAGCTACCGTGAAAGTGTCACAACGCACAACATCTCAGCGGAAAAACACATAACCAACCACTTATTTTTACAGCAGAGCAACTAGGGCACACTAAACAGAGTGAGGAAAACATATGGGAAGGCGACAGTCTAACGTCATTTTGAGGATAGCAAGTTCTCTACTGTAATGAAACCTTAGCACAAGAATGGCCAAGTTTGATGGAAAAATACTAAACCGACCAAAGGTGTAAACGATTTTGGTGAATTAGACTGCATGGAACTTGTGGTCACGTAATCAGCACTCAGGTACTCATATGTTACCGATTCTGTTGTATTCACTGTGATAGATCCAAAACTTAATGCCGCTTTTTCCCGCCCCATACGGACGCCCATGATGAGGTGCGCCAGGTTGCTAACAGTATGGATGGCTCTAGACAGTTCAAGTTAAATTTCGCCCGGTATTTGAAGTCCACATATGGCACTAGTTTGTTAGACGACTGATATTCGTAGTAGTAACGAGGTGTTGCTGCAATCGTATGTACGCGATTTTTTAACGATTTTACGGGTTGATCTCTGAATCCCAAATGTGCCCAAAGGTAAAATAGTCCTAGTTGAAATACTTTTACGGAGTGACATTTATATATCTGGAAGGCTTTGTGTAGCTAGTTCATGTCAAATTTTGATCTCACGTTCACTATAAAGTGATATTTCCCTTCTCGGCTGTTGTTAGCTACGTAGGGCAAATTTTGAAATTTGTTTTTCTTTGCGATACCGCAGATTATTTAAAATTGAACTGCTGAACTCATGACCGGTTAGGTCAACTTTGATGCGTTGGCCGAACGTGACGGCAAGGTTGCAACCGTTTCATCACCTACTGGAAAGACAATATCAAGCGCTGTGTTGAGTACTGTTGAGGAAGTGTTCACAAGATGACTGTAAAGCCTAGCAGAAATCTAATTCTATCGGTCTTTTTCCTGTCCGGGCAGTTTTTTCCGGTGATGTATCTGCAAATCCTTTAACCAGCTGCAGCGTGTTTCAAATGTCCACG